AAAAACAAAAAAAAAAACAACCCGAAAGACCTGAAAAGGCCGAGAAAGCGGGGAGGGACGGAGGGGGCGCGGAGGGGGAGCGGGTACTTACTCCGTGCAAAGGCGACGAAACTGAGCCTCGCTTTTTTTTTTTGCCGGTGGAAGGAGAGAAAGGGCGACACGCACATGCACATGCACACACACCACACGCGCCCTGCACACACGCACACGCACACGCGGACACGCGCGCGGCCGGCGAGCCCCGCCGCTGATGAATATGATAATCGGGCGAGGGAGGGCGAGTGCAGTGCGGGCGGGAGTGCGGGCGGGCAGCGGCCGCGGGGCTGCGGGCGCCGAGCGGAGCGGAGCGGAGCGGAGCGGCGGGCGCGGAGCGGGGGCGGCGGGAGCGGCGCGGGGCAGGGCTGGGCTGGGCAGGGCTGGGCTGGCCGAGCCGAGCAGCGCTCCGCACCGCCACAAGATTTACTTTAAGACACAGCTGAAGGAAACAGGAAGACTAGACGTCACACTCGGAGTGACGTGGGCCCGGCCCGGCGCCCAATCGGGAGGCTCCTTGGGACGGACGGGGGGGACGGGGAGAACTTGGCAGGAGCGGGGAGAGAGGAGAGGGGAGCGCGGGGGGGCGAGGGTCGCCCCGCCCCACCCCCGCGGGAAGGTGGCGGCGGCCGTGCACCTGCGGCGGGGACGGACGGACGGACGGACGGATATGCACGGGGCGGGAGCGCCGGCAGAAGCGGCCCGACGGGGCGCCCCCCTCACCTCTGCCGCGCACCGGCAAGGGGCGGACAACAGCCGCCCCGCGTGGACAGGGGTGGGTGACAAACTTTAGGAGAGTCACCCCCGCGTGGGCGGGGGCTGCTCTGCGGTGCCCCGTGCGGTGAAGTTTTTCACGAGAGAAGGCTTTCGTAGAGTGCCCCAGGGTGCGCCTCTTTCACGCGTAAAGCAAAGCATCGGACGGTGGAGCAAACCCGCGTTTGCGGGCGCTGCCGCCCCACGCGGGGCACAAACTTTAGGAGACACGGGCTTGTGGCSGCCCAGCCCGCGGCACAGCGTCCCTCGCCGCCGCGCAGTGGCAGCGGCTCTGCCGCGCGTCGCGGGGCTGTCAGCAAGAACCGCGCGGGCATTTTCCACGTGGGAGGCAGGAAATAAACACGAAATCRAGCATCAGGTTGCGGCGCGTGGAACAACCGGTGGTACTGAGGCATGGGTGTTCGGTGCTGGCGGCCCCGGCCCCCTGCGCAGCACGACCCAAGTTTAGTGTCAATTTAACTCTATACCGTCCCGCTCCCGGCCGACTCCCGGCCGCAAGCTTGGGAGGAATAAAAACTGGGATATAAAAAAAACCCACAAAAGTGGATCTCGGCAGGTCTGGACTGCGGTCCGGACAGAAAACTGCCGGGCGCACTCTGTCCCGCCTGGCCGCGGCTTTCCGCGGCGCGGGGCAGGGAGCATCCGCACCCTTGTCCCGGTTGTCGCGGAGCGTTGCCCGGCCGCTGAYAGCGGGGAGGAGCGGCTGAACGAGGGGAAACAGCCTCAGGCTTGCGGGCAGCGGGGGAATACACCGGGGAGAGGGAATAAATGTCCTGCGGAGGGCCGAGCGGCAGAGGAGAGCTGCAGGGCACTCGGCGACAGGTAAGGACGGCGCTGTCTCGTCGGACCCGTCCGCCCGCGCCCTCCCCTCGAGGCGGCCGGAGAGGGAGTCCCGAGTGGAGGGGACAGCCCCGATGGGGCGAGGGCAGGAGCGCCAAAACTTGAGCCGCCATTCTGTGCCAGCGGCGAGGGGCCAGGCCGCACCTCTCCCCGTGCTCGTCCTGCTACTGGTGCTGGTGCTGAGGCGGGCAGCTTCTCCGCTAGTCCCGRTTATACCGTGCGGATCGGTCTCACTAGAGGGGAGCAGCGGAGCCGAGCTCCGCGCGTGGTTGCAGGCTGTGCTGAGAGCGCTGCCCTCARTGCCAAAAGTTTGGGAGTCGGCCCGGGCAGCAAACCCTCCCCTCGGGCCAGCCCTGCCCTGCCCACGGGGACGAAACGCGTGTGCCCCACGCCGGCTCCTCTCTGCCCGCCGGCGGGGCCCGGCTGGCCGCCGCCTGGGGCCGGGGGACGGCTCCGCGCTGCCTCCGCGCTGCCTCCGCGGCGGGGAGCGGGGTCATTAACGGGGGTGCACGAGTAACGCGAAAAGCAGCCCGCAGCCGATCACTAAGAAATCTCTCGGGACCCACTGAAGTGGCTGCCGGAGCTGGCACAGGGGAGCTGCTCTGAGTTAAAAAATTAGATGTCCCTGCCGGTATCGGGATCGCGAGGAGATGCGGCCGGCAACACTCGCCTCAGAGTCCGGCACCGGTGCGAGGCGAAARCTTTCGCGGCCGCGGGGCCCGGCCCGTCGGAGCTCGCCAGGCGGCAGGCAGGTGGGGGCTCGGAGCACGGAGCCCCCGACCCCGCGGCACTGAGAGAGCCGCTCCTCGCCGGGGACCCTCGCAAGCCCCGCTGCGCCGTGCCGCCTTGCGAGGCCCGGCCCGGGGCCGGCGCTGGCCAGCTCCGCGCTGTGAGTGACCACGAATCCCCGGTGTAACGGGGCGCATCCCGGGACGCTGCCCTGCTGCCGCTTTGCACCCGCAGCCCTAGCGCTGGSTGGCCCCGGATAGGTGCCCGGTGCCCGTGGCGCCCTCCAGGCCCGCGAAAGCGCCGGGACGACTTTGCCGAGAATTCTTTTAACGTGACACCTTTCGAAACGGGCACCGGGCCCTCCGCCGCTGCGGAGCGACGGGGCGGAGGCGGCCCGACGGGAGCGGCCGGGRCTGCGCTGCGCTCCGCGGGCGCGGAAAGGCGGCACGGCCGGCCCGGGCCAGGTCCCCGCGTGCTCTTTCGGGGATCGGCTGGCCGGGGTGAGGAGCTCAGCCTCCCGGTGTAGCTSTAAGTGCTGCGGGGGCTGAGAGACAAGGGTGCAGAAGTGTGTCTGGACATACGGGGAGATAGGCTAAATTTGGCGGGGGAATGTCTCGCTTGGACTCTTTCCTTTCCTTTTTATTTTTTTTTTCCCTCTTTTGTTTTGTTTGTTTGTTTTTTGTTTTAGAGGACACCGAGATACTCGTAGGGAAGAAACCGAATTATGCAAATACAAATAAATAAATAGCTGTCTCTAACACTGAGCTCGTCATCACCAGGGCTCMCCTGAACTTCAACCACTGTTAATTTAGCCAAAGGAGAAACTGAGGCTCWGGGAGTGAACCGATGTCCCCAAGGTCACATGGCAGAGCAGTGGCAGCCAGCCTGGCCCCAGGCTAGTGCTCAGGCTTCCACCTATCCTCTGGCCCTGCTGCCTCCTCTCCGTAGCAGCTTGCAGGTTACCTTCCTCCAGCCCTGTGTCGTGCAACTTTCCCAAGTCTAAACACACCGGCCCTGTGCTCTGCCACACCAGTAAGCACAACTGGAATAAAATGCACACTTCCCACTYCCCCTTCATCTCGGGCACTGAGTGTTCCAGACCCTCTTAATCCTGGGGGATAGGCAGCCAGCCTCTCAAGGAATGCAAGCCGATGATTCAAAGCTCAGCATTGCAAGTAATYCCCCACCCACCACCCAAATTTTAGGGTTGGAGGAAAAGCTTTTTTCCCCTCAACAATTTAATCCCTCGGGAGAGGTCCGTGCCAGCCTCTCATGTTCAGGATGTGTAGCAAGCAGAGCTATCCCTGATGCGTTTTTTTGGGCCTGGTAGCTGGGGCAGTGGCAGGGCAGCCTCTGGCTGGTGTGTGGTTGTGTGGCTGTTTCTGCACCTCGCAGCCCCAGTCCCCTGACCGACTGCAACCGTGGTCCCTGCTAATGACCTGTCATAGATTCCAATTTGCAAACTTCTGTAGAAGTCCTGGGTCTTTTTCTTAGTAATTAATAGGCTAAAAGGCAGCCACTAGCCCTCTTCTTTTCTGTTTCTAGATTATAAGATAATTAAGGGTGTTTTGGATCCAAACAAAAAGTAATCAATATTCACAAAATTTGAAKACAAAGCCAGGGTGTGCTCAGATTTGTGGGCTCTCTTCTGCTCTGCCTCATGCTTGGTGTGTGTTCACCAAACTTTAGGTCAAAATATTACTTGTCCTCCAAATATGGGGGTTGTCAGTTCTGTGTTTAAAAAAATCTTCCAAATGTTGGTGCCTCTGAAAAGTTTTTCTGCAAACTTTCAACTTTCCATGCTTGCATTCCTTTTTTTTTTGTTTGTTTGTTTGTTTATTCTTTAAGGGGAAAAAAAAAACCCCCAGATGCCAGAAACTTAGGAAATTTTTGCAGTGTGCCCATGACCATGGGTGATTCCTCTGCCCCTTTGGAGTCTGACAATAAAATTGGAAGTGACAGGGGTATATTGTTGAAACTGCCTTTTCTTTGATCATTTTCCTTGCTGTGTCTGTTCCAACTAAATGAGGGAACAGGGCTACGAATACATATCAGGTTTTCTATCTTATTTTCCTTTTTTTTTTC